AGAACTCCACATACACACACACACACGCACACAACTCGGATAGCACTCATTTGAATAGCCTCATTTACACTCAGTACGGACCACTGTTTCCCTTTGGCAATTGTTAACCTGTGACAAATGAATGACGGTATCAGTATAGGTTATATGACCTTGGTTACAAGGTTTCGATTCCCTGTGATCTACACGCGATGAATTTTACGGCCAACGGGACATGAGCGTGTATTGTAACGGAATCCACTTCGTGGTACTCCAATGCTCACATATTCATCGACTACAGAAACCAGTTGTTTTGTTTGAAATTGTCTTCGGAAAGCGATATGTATATATTCCAGACGTTTAAAGTTCTTTGCCAATCCCATGTGTTTTTTTCGGGTTCTTTAAACTAGGTTTACTCTTCGTTTCGGTCGGTTTTTGTGTTTGCGTCAGGCTTAATTACTTCTCCGTTCACCACACAGTGCACGAACCGTTTTAAACTAATGATTTTCTGCATAATTGATGCACTTGAACCCGTTGATTAGCGGTTCTCTCTCTCTCTGTGTGTGTCATATTGAGTACTTAGTTGAGGATATCAGGCCGCATCGATCCATTTTTAGTCCAGCTGCTTTACTCTCACTTGTTTATTGTATATTCTGCGTGACTCTGAATCAGATGCACTGATAGCACATCGGCTACAATTTTTCGATTTCGGTTTCTACAACCATTAAACATGCCCTTTCGTGAGGCGGTTTTGGTTGCTGTTTTTTAACTGTTCATCTGGGTAAAGGAATCGAGGGAAGATTGAAATATGGTACGTCATATCAGGGAGTATTCTGGCAGATCACAAGGAGATTGAGTAGATAGATGCACGGGAGCTCAGGAGACAATCCTTTCACAGGATGGTGCACCAGTTCGAGCACTCCTATTGGTAATGCTCTTCTCACATTCCTAGTTTTCTCAATCAAATATGCGGTTGGTTCGAGGATATTCCTTGGTGTTCGGTCGCTCAAGAGCTTCGTTCACATATTGTTTGCTTAGTATGTAGGTTTGGCGAACGTGGTTGATTCACATATTTTGACAATTTTTACCGTGACTACTGTTCAGTAGAGTAGTGAATTGCATGAGGCCCTAGATAATTAGAACCTGTGCGTTATAGATCTGGACAACAGCCTATCTATATGAACTGGTGATAGTAAGGTTCAAACCTAAGTTGTTTGATGTCGGTTCGCGTTAGAAGGAAGAACTCAGGTATTCCCACAGTATGGCGGTGATAAAACAGCGCAGCATTGTTCACACAATATCAGTGACAAGCACGGATGTGACTAAAAAATCTGCGTTATTCAACACCTTGGTTTTTATTATTCTGAGTGTCGAATTGTGTCTAAATGGAGTTGACACGATGAAGGCGCATCGTGTGTATCTGTATCATATTTCATTCCCATAAAATCGAAATAAGTATTTGCGATCTCCTGTCACTTTGTTCGCTCTGGGTCTGTACCGTGTTCTGGCAGAACCGGGAGTTTCCATATGTTCTTCATTTCACGCATCCATTGTGTACAATAAGTTAGTTGTATATTCGTGCATTTTATGATGGGGTAACACTGAATTGTGTTATCTTTTTATCACCTTAGTGATTTTTGCACATCAATTGTTGCAATTTTGCAGACCACTCGTTTCGCTCTGAAACTGCTGGCACATTTACTATTTCACGTGGATGATGCATTCAACGAATTCAAAATGGGTAAGAATTGTTTCACGGATCACGTGCACTCAGCTTTACATCTTTCTGTTGTCAAGCTCTGAGCGTTTGGTATCAATAAAAGCGCACATCATAGCAGACAGCAAACGTAAAATTGGTACGTCAATTCGATCTATCTACTGTTGCCACAGATGCACCTGGGGTTGTTACAGGGCACGTGAATTTGTTGAACTTCCGCGCAATCAATTTAGCTGTTTATCACGTGAATGCGTGATATACTTGCCCGTGCCAATGTACCGCACCCAATCACGGCTCTTCAATCCTGACACAAAAATGACAACAGCGCTTCTGGTTAACAGAAAAATCCCATTCAGTTCTGATTGGATGTGGACACCGCACCACTCACTGAAGTGCAACTCTTCGACCACATCCATCCCCGTATAACGTTTTTGGCGGTTCGAATATCGAACCCGACATTCGCCGTGTTATCTAAATTCTTCTCTCGTTACATAGTTTCTTGTTCTTTTGAGGTACTTGCTGAGACTAGTTGCTATCGTCACGAAGTGTTCGTCCGACCGGCCACAGACACGGTCACGTGAGAAGTCAAGTCAAAATGCACCCCAGGAGGGGGTTCAAAAAAACAAATCACTACTTGCAACCCCTCCCCTCCATTCTAGGGCGGAAAATAGAAAATTTGATGGATTTCAAATTGCTCCTTACGTGAACATTTGCTTGCACTTCATTATCTCTTACTCTCTTTCATCTTTATTGTGCACCAATAAATTACTGATTTATGATAATATTGCTTTTCGTTTATCTGCATTCTGATACGATCCATTCTGTTTCTCTCTTTTATCGATTCGAATTTTGTTCATTATGCTAATATCGTTCTTGCGGTTCTCCGGCCTCGGAGACACGTGTTTTTCTGGACTAAAATGATCACAATCGTTTGATTAGTCGTTCGTATCTGGGTCAGGTAGACACGTTTATCATGCAAAATTGAACATTCGATCCCCGTCTAATATTGTTCAGTTTTGTTTGAATGAATAACCGTTGTGTCCTTATTGATATGGTTTCACATCTTAGAAAGCAGTTTTTGCTCCGTATATTGATTGCTCACCTGATAATGACTTGGTAAAACTTTTCGCAATGAATCCAAGCGTTGCCATTGTGTGGAAAAGAAGGTTTTTGTTCTTTCTCGTTGTGATAAGTCTAAATGTCTTCATACAAATCTCACACAATGGACACCACGCGCAATTCCATCCGCAACACCTCCCTCTAATGTGACTTGCATGGTGTTGAATACAGTGTACTTGTGACATCATCCGTCGATGTGGAAAAGTTTGCTGTCCTAGTCTCGACGGGATACCTTTTCGGCTATTTGATTGATTTGTTTGCAACTCTAATTTTGCCAAGAAATACAGTATTGAAAGGGTAATTTCTAAACATTTGAGAGGAGCCACTGAAGTGTCCACGTTTCGTGACATTCATCTGTTTCTCGTACTCATCATTGGGTTATAAAGAAGCGACGCTTCAGCTGACCTTGACCACCTCTGTGTAACGGCCCACTTCACTATTTTCCGATTCCATTTCTGTTCACTGCCAAATACGTTAACAATCTAGATATTGTTTTCCATTTCGGAATATAAGCTAAGTTTGGTTTGCCAATCATGAAAGTGTATCGGGTCTGTTCTTATGTTTGTATCAGATACTATCAAGGGAATCGTTATTGTAACTTACTGTTGTCCCACCCATATTTTGTTCCAGTTTATCAAGAGTCTGATCCGTTCAAATTGGTTGCTTGCTATGGCCACCTGACTGGAGCTGTACCACCTGCTGTCCCCCGATTATGTCATGAGCTTCCTCCGGGATATCGTTCCAAACGAACAAGAACACCAGGTCTATGGGACACAACCCCGGGCACCAGTTCTGTTAATACCACTGTGGTAGATAAGCAACCAATGAACTCGAATTTGTCCGAATTATCGCATCGACCTGTCCCCGTTTGTTCATGTGTTCCGTCTGCTCATGGCACTCAAGCTTTTTTGGGACTTATTCGCGGTCTCTTGTACTGGCGCTTGGTCAACCCAGGGAACACTCGAAGTGTTGAGGCAGTGGATCAATTTGGGAATCATGTGACCTCCTCTTCTGGTTTGGGAATGAATGCGGACGATGTGGCGCTTTTGGTAAGTGGTTTCTTTGGTTCATGCTTTCTCAAGCTACTCCTGAAGCTGTCGATCACCGACGCATCATCACTGCCAACGGCAGTTAGCGGTTTAGGTTCCTTTCGATGATACAAACTTGCGAAGGCACCGAATAAAACAATGCATAAACTAACACAAAAATCTCAAAAAGTGTACAGTGAAACACAAAATACCATTAACAATCTTTTTCTATCTTTTCTCATGTTCTGTATCCCAAACCCTTCTCCCGTTACTGTTATTGTTAATATTGTTGTGGCGTTGGCACCATGCCGGTGTTATATATATATATATATATATATATATATATATATATATATACAACTTAG